AAAAATACATTATGGCTTTCTTTTTTTTTTTTTTTTTTTTTTTTTTTTTTGCCAGAGGGCACATGTGCTGGCTAGAGAGTGAGAAAGAGGGAGGGGGGCAGCAGTTAGCATAATGGCTATGTCGCTGGACTCCTATGTAGCCGATCGTGGTTCTAGTCCCGGACCCGGTGGCTTAAACTCACACTGGGCGCGTGTGTGCATGTCCAAGATCCCAAGAGGAGCATGAAGGAGAAGGGATTGCGGCGTGGCCATCCCCCCTGGGGGGTGATTTCTCGCTTTCTGTCTCTCTCTGTCTTTCTAGTGAGCGTACATGCCGTATAGCAAAAATCCTCTCCAAAAGAAAAAAGAGAGAGAGAGAGAGGGAAAGTGAGAAAGCACCCTGTAAGGAATGGGCCGACCATACAAGGAAATAGACATGTAGAGCCTTTATTGGGAATGCTGGGCGAGATTCCCTGGTCCAACAGAGAGAAAGAGAAAGGGGGAGATGGGCCAGAGAAGTCGAGCGCTAGGGCGGGGTTTAGTGATTCTTATAAGGTATAAGGAGGGGGGGAGCATCTTAGAGGTAGAAACAATCCACGTTTGGTAAAGGTTTAGGGGGAGAGTAAACTACTGTGCTACGTAACGTCTGGTGTTGTGTGCAGAGTAGAGTCCCGTGTGCAGAGGAGAGCGCCAGGTGCTACATCCGGGTTAGATCTGAGTGCAGCGCAGGTCTAATGACAGACTAGTTCAGGGCTGTATCAGCCGACTGTGGTGTGCCATTCAACCCCCACATCCAAGCTGCCCAGGTCTCCAGCCTAACACACCCCTCATAGGAGATGGTCACACCATAATCCCTTCTTCTCCATAGCTATTGGGGGCATGCATGCACATGTGCCCAGTATGTTTTTCAAGCCACTGGGTCCAAGACTTGAACCGTAGGATCAACCATGTGGGATCCAGATGCCTTTACCACCATACCACTGGCTGGCCCCTTCCCATTTCTTTTCTGAGTTCTTTCAGGTAGTAATTGCATCTATTCCAAGTTATAAGAAGTAAGTAAGAAATCTGAAGTGCCACTTCTCCTCTATCAAGGAGAGAGAATTATTATCTTCACTTTTCCTTGCCAAAGTATCTAAAGAAAACTGATAAATTGAAGTCTCTCTCTCTCTCTCTCTCTTTTTTTTTTTTTTTTTTTTTTTTTTGGTTAGAGAGCATGTGCACCAGAGAAAAAGAAAGGAGAGGGAGAGAGTATCCCGCAGTGAGCCAAGGTCATCCTTTCTCCTCCATTTCTCCATCCTGTTGGGAATTGAGGTGCACACACCCACATGCCCAGCATGTGTTTCAGCCAGCTAGAGTTGGGATTTGAACCACAGTTGGCCATATTGGAACCTGCTGCCACACACACACACACTCAAAAGTGTATATTTTTAATGCATTAACACAAATGTT